ATTTGTCTGGATAATTTTTAAGGGCGTTACCGGCAATTTAACACAAACTTGGTGTCAAATAGATCATGGGAGTTACTTTTCTTTGACTTTTCATACAAGTTTACATAAACTTTAACTGTATGACCTGCAGTGGCGTAACCACGGGGGGGGGGGGCGTGGGGGTGGGGGGCCATGAAACCTTGTCGCGCCCCCCCCCCCAGTCGCCCCCCCCCCCACTGAGATTTTGAGTTTCTAAAAACATTATCATTGATCTACATGACGCCCCCCCCCCCATGAAATGTTCCATCCCCCCAGCGCCCAGAAAAACTACACCAGAAAAACTACGTTGTCCACAAAAATGTTTAAATTGTAACGCCTGAGAAGTATATGCTCAATTCCTGGCTAATGTTGAAGGGTTTAGGGCAATAAATGCATTGCCAGTTGATGTAGAATACCTTTTTTTCGAAAAAGTAAACAATAGAGATGCTTTGGTGTGAAAATGGTGCTTTTGTCCACCCGTGTCACGATTTTATCACTAAGGTACCTCACTTTTCCGCTTATCTTTGGAACACTAAACATTTAAGATACTAATAATCAATTACAAAAACTCTTTAAGCATAGAATTTGAGCCTTTCTCTCTTACTTAAAAACAACATCTCACAATACCACATACTGTTTGCATGTTAAAACAAGGTGTCAAAGTGACTACCCAAAATCCATGATTTTAGCCGAAAAAAACAGGTCTTTTGACCAAAAAGGTTTTTTTGACCCACAAAATCACCCTCAACTATATTCCATCCCAATGACATACCACTCAAATGAAAGATCTTGTTGTCCCCTTTAATTTGATACCAAATTTGTTGTTGAGATGCTTGCAGTTCTGAAGATTATTATTAAGTTATATTTTTTCATGTAATAATTAGCTGATGACGTCATAATGACGTCATACATGCCCTTTCCATCATTCAATTTTTTGCGTCCGTCTTTTTTTCGAAAAGGTATACCATGGAGATGCTTTGGTGAAAAAATGGTGCTTTTGTCCACTGTGTAACGATCCTTAGCATTTTTGTTACTAATGTACCTCACTAATAGTTATAGGGACCACATAGGGATGTGTGTGAATTGTTTTGGTTTTGAGGGCAATTCCACGCAAAAGTGACCACAGCTGGAAATTGGAAACTGTATGAAATCTGCCAAACTACAAGCATCACAACATCAAATGGAGTGTCAAATTGAAGGGGCAACAAGATCTTTAATTTGAGTGGTGTGCCAATGAGTTGAAATGTAGTTAAGTGTGGTTTTGAGTTTTAAAAAAACCTGGTTTTTGCTAAACTAATGGATTTTGGTAGTCATTTTGGCACCTTCTTTTAACATGCAAAATGTGACTGTTATTGAGAGGTTTTTGTGTTTAAGGCAAAGAGAAAGTTTCATTTATTATAAGAAAAGTGTTTCTTTCTGCTGCAGTTCATCAAACTCATATTTTATGCCGTGTTAGAGACCACACTGAAAAATTGCCTGGGTTAATTTTACCAAAGAAAGGGTGAAAACTGGAACTACCCAAACTTGGGTTGTTCTATAACCAATTGTTTGGGTTAGAATTTCTGCTAAATTCAACCAAAACCTGTGGTCATTCAAGACCAAATTTAATTTGGCCTTGTATGACTACAACTTTTGGTTGAATTTAACATAAATTATAACCCAAACAATTGGTTATAGAACAACCCAAGTTTGGGTAGTTCCAGTTTTCACCCTTTCTTTGGTAAAATTAACCCAGGCAATTTTTCAGTGCATGAAGAGGAAGTAACGTGAGTGACGGTATACCTCCCTGTAATATAATGTCCCTTGCATCTAAAATACACATTTACATTGATTCAAAATAGGTTTTTATATGGGTTGGATGAAAGGTAAAATAATGTTATTTCTGTGTTGCAGACTGGAGACTGTAGCAACAAAATTGCAGGACAACTTTTCCATGTCCTTTTTTGTAACGTGAGTGACGACCAACAAAACACATGTTTTCAAAAAGTGAATGGACAAAAATGGATTGAATTTTTCTTTCCATTCTTGAGTACCCCTTACCCCTAGGTTGTTGCATGGCTGGTTTGATTCAGCTTGATCAAATACTTTTGAAGCAGTGAGAGGTCAAAGTAGCCTCTGGCATATAAATATGACGTGAGTGACGGTGGAATTGCTTGATTTGAATGATTCTTGTATTAAAAGATAGCTTATGAATTGGGCTTTCATAATTATGTTGGAAGTGCTACATGCAGAACTTTACTAAAACAATAGTCCCGACATTTGGGTTTAGGGTTTTTTTTTTTTTTTTTACTTACCCTGTTCATCTCTTTATATTCATTTGTAGAATGATCATGATTGTATTCTCAAATATTTGATATTAGAAGATAGCCTACTTTGTTTCAGTATTCCAAAAAGTACCAACATCTGCTTATTAACATATTTTAAAATCCGTGCCTGAATTTTCCCTAAACTCCAGATTTCACCGTTTTGAACTCTGCGTCACGGGTTTTCCCACCTTCTGAATTAAGTATGACGGGAATAAATTCTTCGAAAAAACCCACAAATTTTGTTTCGCTTTTACACTCTGCAAACAACAATTGTCTGACCTGCAGTGACTTTTGTCACCTTTCTCAAACACACGTGTCTTGAAAATAATTATACAGCGCCCAGCATGTAAGGCGTGTTTGTTATGCACTCCCAAAGTTGGACTTTTGTCATTGAACTATCGTCCGTGTTATCAACGAGTCTGCAGCATCAGCCGCGGCCTGAAGTGGTTGCGCGTTATAACTGGGATATTCTTTTTCTTTAATAATAGTTTTGGTGAACTAACTTGTTAACATGCACTCCTCCCCTTAATTCCTCACACAATAATGTCCCAAATAGTTAGCTTCAGAGTGTATATGTCCTTTACAATTGTTGTCCTTTATAATACTACTGCCTAAAGTAGCGCCCTCAAAGTCCAATATCTGAAAGGTTGCGCAGATGGGCGCAGACCTGCAAACCGACTCCCATTATAGCATAGACCTCAGTGATAATTACGCGTACTTCCGAAAATTATTTAAAATACTCACAACTTACCAAGGTGTTTGAGACACCCATCAAATTAAAGTTATTTCATGAACCTAATATTTCATTTTCCGTTAAATTTTTGTTCAATTATCCGATAACTTTTGGGAGAAAATTTCAGCCAAAGACAATCATCCCGAAAATTAAATCCTGTGGCCCATCGCCATTTTGAAAAATGATGCCTGCGCTCCATGGCAAAAAAGATCAACTTTTTGGTTTAATTTCATGTGAATTGCACAGAAATACGAGCCTACTCTACTGTGCACGGCTTCCACCCATCATTTTCACAAACCTTCAAGTTCATGGCCCACCAAATTCTCTGATAGCAAAGAATTTGAGGGCATTTAAATTGTAATTCGGCCCGCGTAGGCAATTCTTTATAGGTCTACACCCAGATATATCCCGCCTCCAGCGGCGGTTCTACGGGGCAGGTGCTTTTGAAGAAGTTTCTAATAATTCACCGACTTTTCAAACCAAATTGGCCATTTTTTTGTGAATGAAGGCGCTGCCTTAATTGACGCTTTTTTTATGGAAACAGACAGCAACTTTTAATTGAAGCACCTCTTTACTTCTATCCGAAAATTGAATTAAAGTTGAATTATGACAACTTGTAAACGTACGACGTAAAGCCAGCATTCGAGTCGGTCTGTACCCCCAACATGGCGTCATGACAGCTTCCTTGGTCCCTTAAAACAATGGTTTATTCCCTCAAGTGAAGTCCAAATTGAGTCCATTATTTCAGACCGGCCGTGCTATACTATAGGCCTACTTGGACCAAGAATCGGCTGCTACTAAAGTATTAAAATCAAATCGCTTCTACATTGTTTGTACTACTAATCAGCCATAATGGTTGCTAGGGCAAAGCGTCTGCCGTTGATAGGCAAAGCTAATCCAATTACGTACCTAGACGCTATAACAGAGCAGTGAAATTCATGCACCCCAAAAAACATGGTCTTTTGAACGTTGTGTTTCTCAGAAAATATGCTCAGTATGATTAAAATGTTAAATTATAACTGAAGAAGAAATTCTAAACTTCATGTCAGTGGAAACTCGCCGTCATCGCTGCCAAACGTCAACACTCGTTACTGGAAAAGCCGATCGTCAAGTCTGGAAGAAATTGTTCGATAACCTCCCCAAATCTAAGTATTTATATCAATTTTAAGGAATTTCTCCAAGTTGTTATTTCACGAGGAGTTGAACACTAATTATGTCATATAAGTATATTCCGAATTTCAGCTGAACCTGTTGTTGCAAACGCTAGTGTTACACCTTGAACTATCTCCAATGAAAATGTTGACGAGGATTTTTTTTCCGACCCAACCCACTTGCATTGTTCAGCAAAGCGCCCTAGGCGCTAACGTTGACCGATTTCGGCCCGGCAACACAATAACGAAGGGTATAGTAGCATATTCATTAGCGTCACTCGGCGTGACTTTGCGTGGGTCTCGGTATCGACCAATGGAAGCCGGCAAAAGGGGTGATATTTATCACTTAATTAATCGCGAAGGAGGTTTTTCTCCTTATATTTAACTGCACACCATAATGGATATAGGAACCGTATTAATATTCGTGAGGCTTGAAAAGATTGACAGATATTGCAAACGCCCAGTGTGTTACAATTTTAAAAATGCACGTAGCCAGGCCTATTTTTCCAATTTTAATGAAAAGTAATGAACATATCACAACGATATTTAGCACATTATTTGGATCATCATAAGGGAAATAAACCCTGAAAGTTGCATGAAGATACGGTCTTCCAAACGGGAGAAAATAATTTTGAAAGATTTCGCCCGCCAACGTGAACATGTCTGTGTGCATGTAGTTTCATTCAAAATAAAGTGTTACGTAACATTTAAAAATCGCCCTTCGCAACCACATGGCTGTAGGCCTAATGCTATCTTTTCTTCTTTTTCTTTTTTGGTTGCTTTAATAGACGGCGATGTGGTATTGTCAGGCGGAAGCGATGCCAACAGTGGCATGGTTATGATTGAATTCAACGGCGTGAATGGCACAGTGTGCAATGACGACTGGAACGTGTACGCCGCCGACGTGGTCTGCAAACAGGTCCTTGGCAGCACCTCCAAGTCCACTGCCCGCTTCCCGCCGCCCGAGGGCAGTACACCCAATGTGTTCCTGGATGGGGTGGAGTGCAGAGGAGACGAGGCCGGGCTGATGGATTGCGTCCACGGCAAGCTGGGTCAGTCGGGAGGGTGTACGGGCCAAGACAACGCCGGTGTCATCTGCTGGAATCCCACTGGGTTCCAAGGTAAGGAGTCGTAATTAGTCATCGAGAAATCATCATAAGTCAACCACTGGTCATTTAAACAAGTCAGTAGAAGTCATCGCAAGTGATCCCAAGTGCACCACAGGTCAAAAACAAGTCGCCAGGTGTTTCAAGCTATTCTAATTCACGTCGCAAAAGCATCTCCTGTTGACTGTAATTGGTGCATATCTGACTTTGGATTGACTCAATTAACTCGAAATTATACCTCAGCTTTCTGTTGTATCAAGCATTCACTAAGCAATCCATCCTGTTGTTTTAGCAAGATAATTTGTCAACTTGATATTGCAAATTCCTCGGCTATGTAAGAGTTATTCTTCATCAGTTTGATATCAGCGAGGTTTGACTTCTGAAGTCAAGACTAGTTCCTTCCCGCTTCTCTCAAAGTTTATTGGCGTGATGTTCCGTGGTCTCGGGGTCTGGGGAATGGAACTCATTTAGTCTGTGGGTACTTCTGCAGGTTGTGGGTTCGAATCCAGCCTAGGGTTATGGCGCGTGTGTCCTTGGGCTAGGCACTTTGTCACTCATTCCTTCTCTCCATCCAGGAGTGAATGCCTGTGGGTGCCTGTGAGGGAAGAGATGGTATACATGTGATTGATTTAGCTGCTTTGCGCCGAAATGGCAGCATTGAGCTGTATACTCCCCAGGGAGCTGAGATGGTATTTGGAATGTTTCACTGACCCAATGATCAGCGGTTAATAATGATAATAATAGACTTTATTCACGATTCCACCATATTAAATTGAAAGCGAGGTAATAATAAGTAAGTTTAAATTCGGGATTAAAGTAACATACCCTAATGTTTTAAGTCACATTAATCATATCACTCTAACCACACTAATCACAAAATAGTGTGGCACCATCCCATTCAGCAGTTTACAATTTATAAAATAGATTCAGGGAACACGATCGAAAACGGCTTCCTGTCTATGTGAAGTGCTTTTTTATCTTAGTTAAAAGCTCTATTATAAGTACCCGTTGTTATTGTTATTATTTGGCGGGAGAGGGGCAAGCATACATCGCTCCAATCGTCAGGCAAGCGTCTCCGTGGTTACGGATTCTGAATACAGGCCCTTTTTAACCGCATGAGGGCGCTGTAACGACGCCATGTATAATATACATGTACATATTATGGGTACACCACGGAGATATCACATTTATTATAATAACGGGTTCTTTTATATAGCCTTTTAACTAAGATCAAAGCGCTTTACATTATTATTACTCCTGATCATTGGGCCAATTAAAAATACCTTCATTTCAGCTCCCTGGGGAGTATACAGTTCGATCCTGGCATTTCGGCGCAAAGCAGCTACAATCAACTTGAACAATAACCATTTCTGCCCTCACAGGTACTCCTATGAGGGCAGCAATGAGTGACAAAGTGCCTTGCCCAAGGGCACACACCATAACCCCAGGCTGGACTCGAACCCACAACCAGCAGAATTACCCGCAGACCACGAATTCAATGCCCCAGACCACGAGGCCACGGCACTCCATAGTTTATTGAACCGGTACTATTTTATGGTCTAATATCGACCTCAAATAATTGTTTTCTTTCAATTATTTTTGATGGAATATGAATAACGAATACTTCCTCTTTGCCATAACAGAGGTTTTGGGGGTATTGCTCCAACTAAAAGGGCCCATTTAAGGGTGCACACCGGTAAACAGGCCAAAACCCATCCGCCGAGCTCATGATTAAAAGTTATACCCTCAAAATATTCTATATTAGAGAGTTCTGAGAGCCATAAAATCTGGAAATTGAAGATATATGGCAATGAACCTCTGGCCCGGACTTGGGGCTTCCAATTCAATGGCCAACCCGCCAAAAAAATGGAAAAAAAACCCGAAAGTTGACATGTTGATCATCATTTTTCTGTGCAGCTTAAATACCTGTGAGAGTTCTGAGTATTTAAAAAAAAAAAAAATTGAAGTATGGGCATTTAGCACTAATGTCTATAGGAATTGTTATGCAGGGGTGCACCCTTAAAAGCAACACGTGAAAATGGTCTTTTTAAATAAAAGGAACACGTGAACTTACGTCTCTTACTCGGGATTCACGTCTGTTTGTACTCCCAAAATTGGCGTTGTATGCAGCGCATACGTCGGCTAAAAAATATGCGGCATTTGGGAGTGCTATTAAATTGCCCTCGAAATAAAGGCCCTCTACATTTCCTGCTCAACGATAACGAAATCGAACTGAGTTTTTGTGTTTGTGTGTTTCGGTTACTTATAGAATACGCGTTCCAACACGCCGTGCTACGCTTGATCGGCGGCCCGTCCTCTACCGAGGGCCGCGTGGAGGCGTTCATCGAAGGCTCCTGGGGCGCCGTCTGCGACGAGAAATGGGACAAGACAAATGCAGCAGTCCTGTGCAAACAGCTCGGGTGCTTCGACGCCAAAGAGGCGAGCACGGGGTCAAAATACGGGCCAGGGGTTCTGGATATCAAACTGACGGATGTTGTATGCGACGGGACGGAAACAGACATGATCAATTGTTTGTTCACCGTCCTGTCGCCCGATGCCAACACGACGTGCACCAACGCAACGGAGGCAGGGGCCATCTGTGATTGCGGTGAGTTGACGAATATCTTAATAATCTCGGGCGTTTCACAATGCAGTGCGCCATCAAGAGTTTGCCACGGAGAGTCCATATTTCCCAGTGCAATGTGGGAGATAGTCGACAAATTCGCAGCGCGGGCTATTTGAAATTGTTAGTTTGTCCGGTCAGTAGTTCGTAAGCCAGTGATTCGAATTATGACTGTTTGCTCTTTTCTTCTCTTTCAATATCAATATGTTTTCTTTTTGTAAGGCGACAGAACGCTATGCACCAATCCTTAACAAATTAGCTCAAGTTGTTTACTGACACTCGCTCAAATGGGCCGTGTTTTGTCAACTGTAAACTTGAAAAATTGACTCTCCGTGGCAAACTCTTGGTGGCGCGCTTTTCAAAATTCAGAATTGACCATTAAATAGCCACCTTAAAATACACCACATAACATTTTTTTTACCTTAATAGGTTGGGTTATTGTTTTCCACATTTAGCCAAAATGACTTTCAAAACTTAATAGAATGTCAGTGGAGGCAAATAAACCAACAAAATAATGAAGTAATTTCAAAACGACTGAATGCAATAACATTTCCCAGCTTCCATTTAAACCAGGAAAAGTTGGAAACAACTTTGATGCATGTCTCTTATGATTATTGCCAATAATCTGGCCGACTTGTGCTTCGAACTTTTAAAAATAAATTTCCTCCCCCCCCCCAGAATTAACGGTCATCATCGGCGATGGGCAAACAAATCAAGGTATACTCAGGGCCCAACTTGCCGGTGAATCAGAAGCAAGGACCCTTTGCTCCGAAACTTTCGATCTCCGGTCTGCCGACGTAGCGTGTCGCGAGGCGGGCTTCCCGGGGGCTCTGTCATTTTCCTCGGCGGAAGGGAACATCACGGGCCCGGGGCTTGAGTCCTCGTGCGCCGGCTGGGAAATCTCGCTCCGGGCCTGTCCCGTGTTCACTAAGGCCCAGTGCACCGACGGAAAGGCAGTTGAAGTCATGTGCCAGCCAAAAGGTAGGTCTATAGGAGAAACTTCAGATTAAGGACTATCATAGACCTTTATCATGCTGCCACCATTTCAGTCATGTTCCCTGTATCCAGTAAGATTACTGAATTATCTTCCTTTTTTGTGTGCAAAAAAGAACCAGACTATTTTTCCTTCCAGCCTCGCTTTGGTTACGTTGATTTGAATTGGAAAAATCAAAATGGCCGCAACATGATAATGGTCTATAGGGGATGATGCCACATAATTATAACAGCCCTAGAACCCTATATGGTTGGCTTAAGGAATGTACCCAGGATATTTTCCCAGGAGGCAAGAAGGCTGTATTCAAGCTAATTTTTGTATAATGCAAGGATTTCTTAGGCGCCAAAGGTTCCAATGACTGGATGAATTCAGCTTGTTAATAGCGCCCTCTACCGCCAGGTCGACTGGCATGCACTTGCCATTAAATACGGCTGCATTCTAACCAACCCTGTCTTGGATCAAATCAAAATCATCATTTAAAATCACTGATTTTCTTGATTTATCTTTACAGAGGGGATCGAGCCAACTAGTAAACCGAGCACCACGAAACCTCCGTCCGGCGGCCTGAGTACCGGTGCTATCGTCGGTATCGTGATCGGCTGCTTGTTGGGGCTCCTCCTGGTCATAATAGTCGGATTCCTCTTGTGTCGAAAGCGCAGGGAAGGACCGGCCGCAATTTAAATGCTTCAGGAATTACAATTAATAGTATGATTTCGAAATTACTAACCAAACTTGATGATTAAGTGCATTACTTGCAAAGCAAAATTCGCGTGTACAATTGCTAAAAAAAAAAGCAACACACATCTTTGTGTATTTTGGCTGATAGCGTTTTTTTTGTTTATGGTGTAAATCGAGGACACATACATGCAACATCATCGATGAATTGAGGACAGGAACCAAATCGAGGACTACGGTAACAAAAAGTGTACCAAATCAATGAGAGCTGTTGCAAAAAAAAGTTACAGTATAAACAAAGGAAAAGGGAAGAGGAACAATAGAAAATCATCTATTTACACCATAAACAACCTGTGTGTTTGTGTCTATGTTTAAGATGTATTCCTCGTGCTATTTTCGAGTTTCATCCCGAAAACCCTCACCAGCTGAGAACCAATTACAGGCATTGGAGAGATAATAAGTTGCTAACATGATCCAATTTCTGTGCTTAACAGATCCAAAAATGCACACAGATTTTCTCCCTTTTTAATTGCGATCAAGTCGCAGCGATCGATCAGTGTCTTGTGGCTGTGACAGAGTGCGTGTGCTGGACGAGATAAGCGAGAATCAATGAGGTTAATGGGGACAGGTGGCGCCCTCTTTGATTCTGGTCGATATTCCTGGCACGAGGAGTGAGAACATGAAGAATGGCCGTGACTACAAACGATACAAACGAACCCCGTTTGAGCAAAGTTACGATCAGAAAAAAGAAGTAATTTATACAGAGAAAAGCAGTACTCAAGTCAGTTCTTTAAACCTTCACTGAGAGATTTAATATTTAGGTATTAATGAATACATCCTTTGTTGTCTCTCTGTCATGTTAAAGATTTGTATTGGCTAGCAACATTGTGGCGCATCTTACAAGGTTATGCCTATGGGGTGAAAAGGGAACTAGGTGGACCCAGAATGGAACATGGGTGAAGAAAATGTGTGTGGTTATGCCGACTGACACGAGATGGTTCAAGGGATACGTTATCATAAGGTAGGCGAATATTGGGGCCGAGTCATGGGAAAGTGGTGCGGGCCATCATGACTGTGGCTGGGCCAAATACAAGAGCCAGCTCAGAGAAGACCAGGCACAGGCAATGAGCGTCACTGGAAAGTCCCGTGTCGCGGGCCTGGTACCAGTGCATAGTGGGCCAGAATCGCCTCAAAGTGTGCCAAAATTTAAAAATAGTGAATGTGACATTTTCAACTTTTTAAACTTTTATGAGGAAGACAACATCCTAAAGAATATTTTTCCATCCATATTTTTGTTTAAGTTTTGTTAGTGTCACATACCCCTGTGAACATAAAAAAGTGCGAAATCTGCACTTAAAATGATAAAAGTTGCAACTTTGAAAAACGTGTTTTGATTTAAATGAAAGAGAAAGAAGTGAACTTGTTACTGTGTGCAGTTCTTACCCATTAGTAGCCAAATTAGAAAATAAAATTCAAAATGTAAAAAAAATGTACATTTTGGAAATTATGATCAGTAAATTTGACCAAAAAACACCAAAAAGTGATTTTTTTTTTGATAATTGCTGCGATAGTTAGGATTCCCGCCGATTCCCGCCATGATTTTAATTTCAACGTTTCCACCCAAGCATCGGCTTTACGTTGATGCCAAGTGTTTTTGCTAGAATTTGCTATACTGCGTGTAAGAGGTGTTTTAAAGGCCGCATGTTCGCCGTTTTTATGAACTGTACATGGTACTGATGTACATGTATATACTTTCGATATAAACGTGCAAAAGTAAAAGGTCACTCTTTTGTAGTTGGAGCGATATTTATTAAGTTTTTAAAACTTGTTTGTGGAAGAAAACATCCTAAAGAATATCTTTTCACGGTATTACATTTTTTGGTGTAAATTTGTATGGTGTCATATACCCCTGTGAACAGGAAAGCGTACGAATGATGCTCAGTATGATCACATTTGGCAACTTTGAAAAACGCGTTATGACTTTATGAAAGGGAAAGCAGTCAACTTGTTACTTCATGCAGTTGTTACCCATTAACCGAAGTAGACAAATTAGAAAATAAAATTCAAAATGTAAAAAAAATAAACATTTTGCAATTGATGATCAGTACATTTCTGACCCCAAAACCTGTAAGAGGCGTTTTAAAGGCACATGTTCGCCTTTTTTAATGGACTGTACATATAGCCTACTTTTAATATAAAAACGTGTAAAAGTAAAAAGTCACTCTTTTGTAATTGGAGCGATTTCGGTTTTTAAAACTTTTTTTAAGGAAGAACATAACCTTTTTTTTACCCGTATTTTATTTTTTGTAAGGTGTCATATACTCCTGTGAACAGGAAAACTACGAATGCTGTTCTTAAAAACAATGATCAAATTCAACTTTGAAAAACGCGTTATGACTTTATGAAAGAGAAAGCTGTCAACTTGTTAGTGCGTGCAGTTCTTACCTATTAGTAACCAAATTAGAAAATAAAATTCAAAATGTTATAAAGTATTCATTTTGGAAATTATGATCAGTACATTAATTTTAACCATAAAACATCAAACATGCATTTTGCGATAAAATTAGCACGATAGTTTGGATTCCCAGGGATTCTTGCCAAGATTTTAATTTCAACCTTTTTACCCAAGCCCAAGCTTTTTGTTGATGCCAATTATATTTTATAGAACTTGCTATGCGTGTAAATGCCCCATGTTTGTCGTTTTTAATAAACTGTATACGTGGTACTGTATATACCCTTAACTTAAAAACGTGTAAAAGTTAAAATTAAAAAAAAATTGCTTGTAATTTGAGCAATATTTATTCATGCTAAGTAGAAACATCACAAATAACTTTGAGGGGGTTATATCATAATAAATCAATAAAAAGACTTACCCAATTTTGGTTAATTTTATTTTTGTAAACATGTCTAGTCAACAATAAATTGTATGAGTTCATATCCCTCTAACGTGAAGCATTGTTTGAATTAAAATATAATTTCAATCCGCCAATCAAAGTGCAGTTTTTCTAATACGTTTCCCCAAACCAATGAAGTTTTCAACTATCAGTTAAACATTTAATCTACCCGGCTATTTTGATTGGATAATTGATTCAACCAATTGATTCAATAGTCAATGTAGTATGAATCTGCCTTGTTATTACATTGAATATTTGCCTTAGCAAATCGGAAACACTATTTTAATGACGTCATACAGACTTAAAAATGCATTCATTGCTCTTTATGTGTCTGTAAACCCAATAAAGGTATCAAAATCACTCTATATGAATATTCCTATGTTTTGAAAGGGAAAATGGCTCAACCAATCTAAACACAGTATTTTGATGACGTCATATCAATTTAATAATGCTTCCATTGGATTTCTTCGGTCCAGAAGCCCCCTAAACGTTTCAAGAATCAATGGAATACGAATCTGTCTAGGTATTTCAAAGAGAATTTGCATCTTCCAATCAGAAAACAGTATTTTGATGACGTCATACAGATTTGAAAATACTGCGATTGAAATCTAAGGGTCTGCAAACCCCTTAGGTACCTCTAATTTCAACTTCATCAAGCTTTTTTATTGAGTATTTAATTTTGGCACACTTTGACTGCATTCTGGCCAACTGTGCAGTGGCGACGATTGCTGGCATGTACAGCGCCCTCAATTGATCTCCAATTATCCCATGCAGTAACACATGTTCGCTCGTGCCCCGCCCTGCAAACAGGACGCTGGGAAGGGCTGACAAATCCACGCTCTGATTGGATAGATTTTGCGTGACCTGTGACCTGACTGCAAGTCATCACGGTCACGAACCTGCAAGGTTTGAAACGGCCGTTAAGACCGAGTCATTCATCGCTCCTTTATTCCAGTTCATAAATGCCCTTTTTTCGTTGAAAGCATAATAATGAAGGAACTAATCTGTAGAACTTATCTATTTTGTAAATTGTCAACTCCTGTCAGTTGATCAGGCCTCCGTTTCGAATTCACGAAGGGTCGAAATGCATATTATTCGACGCTCAGCCCTTGTCCACATGGTCCGCAATGAAAAAGGAAATCACATCCGGTATGGCGTGTATGCATTTCTATGGCAAACTTAGTTCGATAGCATTTGCGCGCATTGGCTAACCGCGGTCTTAAACAGCTGCAACCAGATGCGTTATACATAGGTCATGATACATTACCCAGAATGCTATCTCCACTTCCTTCACAAGATTCTGTGAAGCTCATCAGCCCTTCCCAGCGCCCTGTTGCAGGGCGGGGGGTACGAGCGAATAACACATGGCGGTGCCCTTGTTAGACAACAGCGCCCTCATGTCCAGTAGGAATTTCCAATAATTGGAAAGGTTACCGGGGGTATTTACCACTTTGTAGAGACAAAAGGACTCAGCGATTCAGCTCTATGATCAACCACATTATATGACAAAATAATAATCCGTTTCTTCAAAGTTAAAATAATTATTACAAACATAAATAACATCACTTTTATTTCCAAGGAACATTTTTCTGCTATAACAATTAGGCCTAATATAATTTTTGATTTCATGTATGTTTTCATTCAGGGCCTCTTAAATACCAATGAATAATACTCATTGAAACGAGAACAGAACTTTAAAACTCGAAAACAAGTTTATTTGATTTTTTCCGGTGATGACCTTGTTTGCCACGTGCTGTAATACTATTTGCATTCGTGTCGACTTGGAACAAGCGACCTTTCTTTTCAGTTGTGGACTTTGATAAATAATGTAGACATTGCGAAACGCGGTCAGCCAACAAACGACGTCCTCAATTTTGGCGGCAAAGTGTGCATGGCATAACGACTATAGTAACCGTCTTCAACCCTTTCGTATACTAATCGTATAATTAAAGACTGTAAGTCAGAATGATTCACCAAGTTTTAATTGTATTTTCCCTGCTTGGGATTGCCTGGGCTGCAGGTAAGTGTATTATTGTTACTAAGCAAATAATTAATGGTCTGAATTAATCGGATTGTACTTGTAGTGTCTGTGGTCTTGGGTAAAACACAAGTCACATTGCTGTGTTGTAAAGCTGTGTAGTGATTAGCATCAAGTGCTATGGTGCACCGACAAGAAAAACAGGACTTCCCTAAAGGTTCAAATTTAACTTTAATTTAACTTGTTCACCTGAAAAGGATATTATCCGCGCGACAAAATACAACAATTTGTCGGATTACAAAAGACCTGTTTAATTTGTTTGCTTGTGAACCTTTCTTCATCGCTCGTGCATGTTTTTTTTTTCCAAAACCAGGATCACAATTCGAGGGTCACTATTTTTTTCACCCAAGATTCACATAATATTGACGTTGAGCCTTCAGCTCTCTACAAAGGCCATATGACGGTTACACACCTATATACCGACTGTTCATATTAATAACCCTAACCCTTACCTAAGTAATCCTATAACCGTAACCCGAGAGTAACACAATCTCATGTGCTGCTGGTTGTCCCAACATTGGGGTGTCGGAGCATTTGGGTGTCGGAACATAAATAGAGCAGTCACCCATTATGACACTATTTAATAAAGGGAAGATACGACATTTGCAAACATCAAAAAACGAAATGATCAAATTATCACGAAATATCTTACGTGACGGTTAGGGAATGACATTGTAAACCACCCTGTAAAATCGTGGCTCCTGGTGTGTTGACATTTTCAAGAAGAATGGTATTAAAACTGCTCTCATTTTTTTCATAATTAGTTTTTCCGCATTTTCTTGGCAATTTATTACACATCTGTGAAGGGGTACAAGCCTGCCGGACTGATTCTCTGACCTTACATTTCCCCAAAGTTGACAAACTGCTCCGTACGTTTCATCTTAAGTTGGGTCAAGGAACCAGACAAGTCAGTTTAACAATATTTGCTATAACATTCTTATCCCCCAAATACATTGATTACTGAAAATTGCCGCAAGGACAAATGTTGTAAATTCCCTTTAATGCAAACCACGACTTGTCCTTTATCATTCGAAACTGTTTTTCAAGTAAGTTGCAAATCATAGTTTACAGATTTTATTTCATACACAAATGTTTTAATTTGGTTTAAAAAGTCGATAAAATATTGGAAACTTATTCAATATCGCCCGCCCCGTAGAACCAGTGCTGGAGGCCGGATATCTGCACAACCTTTCAGATATATGTATTTGACTATTTGAGGGCGCTATACTACAAGGCAATAGACCTTTATCATGCTGCAACCATTTTAGTCATGTTCCCCGCTGTATCCAATAACAGTACTGAATGATAATTTTTTTGTGCAAAAAGGACCCAGACTATTTTTCCTTCCAGCCTCGCTTTGGTTACATTGGTTTGAATGGGAAAAAAATCAAATGGCTGCAACATGATGATGGTCTATAGTGTTATGCGCAGGACACAATGTAACATACAGATACACTTTAATATAAAACTAACTTCCATTCTACATACTATTAATTTTTGGGACGTTTTGCCAGTGTGCGAGGAAGGGGCGGAGTTTTAGTTAGTAACCACAAATATTATTTGGTCAAAAAATATATATCCCAGTTATTAACGCGCATCCACTTCAGGCCGCGGCTGCTGCTGCAGACGCGCTGATAACACGGGACGATAACAGTTCAATGTCAAAAGTCCAACTTTTGGAGTGATTAACAAACACACCGTACATGATGGGCGCTGTATATTTTCAAGACATGTGTTTGGGTAAGGTGACCAAAAGTCAATGCAGGTCAGACAATTATTGTTTACAGAGTGTAAAGGGGCAAATAAATCATGTGGGGTTTTTTTTCAGAAAAATCTATTCCAGTCCTACTGCCGGAGGTGGGAAAACCCATGAGTCTGAGTTGAAAACGGTGAAATCTGGAGTTTAGGGAAAATTCTTGATTAGTCTGGCATGCATATTAAAATATGTTAAAGAGAAGATACAACATTTGCAAACTTAACATCAAACAACAAAATGCTCAATCAAATTATCACGATATTTACTGGATTGTTAGGGAATGACAGTCTATAGCATCCTGTAAAATCGTGGCTCCTGGTGAGTGGGCTGTCATTTTCAAGAAACATTGTATTTTTCCAACGTTGATCGGCCGAACAACGTTGGAGAAAACTTTTTTTATTCAAAAACTGCTCCTAATTTTTCAGATTTATTATTCCGCATTTGCTTTGTAATTAATTACACACCTGTGTAATTACACACCTGTGAAGGACTGATTCTTTGACCTGACAATTCCCCAAAGTCTAAAAGAACATGATTGGTTTACTTGGTTTTTCCAGCATCTACAAGCCCAAAACGTAAAACAAGTCAGTTTAACAATATTTGCCATAACATACTCATCCTTCAAATCCACATGTTTCTGAGAATTGCAACAAAAGCAAATGCTGTACATTCCATTCAATGAGGAGGTGTTTGGACTTTTGAACTACTGAAACAAAGTGTCTTCTGAGATAAAAATTAATATTTAGAAGACATTTAGAAAACATTCACAAATAATTGTTTGTTTTGGAACTATAAACTTTCTGTTTTCTGTAATATGAATTGAACTATAAAATGTATCCCACACACCAAAAAAAATGGTTTAAATCTTGCCTAGTTAATACAAGTTAACACAGATAAGATTTCAGTTTCCATGTAACACAATACATGTGGACTGGAACACGTGTCTGAATTTGTGCTGCGCGAGACATAGAACAACATGTTGCTTTTCACATGAATTTCAGGGTTGGGCTGAGGTTAATTGGCCACCTTTTGGTGAATGAGGGCGCTATATTTAACGACGCTATTTTATGGAAACAGACAACAGCATTTTGTTCAAGCACCTCTTTACTTCTATGCGAAAATTGAAGTAAACTTGAATTATGACAACATGTAAACGCACGACATAAAGCCAGCAATCAAGTCGGTATGTACCCCCAACATGGCGTCATGACAGCTTCTCAGTCGGTCCCTCAAAACAATGGCTAATTCCCTCAAGTGAAATCCAACATTGAGTTCATTATTTCAGACCTGCCGTGCTATACTATAGGCCTACTTGGACCAAGATTCGGCTGCCACACAAGTCTTCAAACCTAACCACTTCTTAGTACGGTACAATGTTTGTTCTACTAATGCTTTACTTTTCCCCTTCTTTTTTGCGTTAATAGACGGCGATGTGGAACTGTCTGGAGGAAGAGATGCCAACAGTGGCATGGTCATGATCGAGTTTAACGGTGAGAAAGGCACGGTGTGCAATGACGACTGGAACGTGTACGCCGCCGACGTGGTCTGCAAACAGGTCCTTGGAAGCACCTCCAAGTCCACTGCCCGCTTCCCGCCGACAGAGGGCAGTACACCCAATGTGTTCCTGGATGAGGTGGAGTGCAGAGGAGACGAGGCCGGGCTGATGGATTGCGTCCACGGCAAGCTGGGTCAGTCGGGAGGGTGTACGGGCCAAGACAACGCCGGTGTCATCTGCTGGAATCCCGCTGGCTTCCAAGGTAAGGAGTCGTGACAGTCATGAAATCATCACAAGTCAACCCCTGGTCATTTCAAGTCATCAGAAGTAGTCACCAGTGATTCTAAGTAAACCACGTCTAATACACGTCGCCGAATGTGTCGAACTATTCAGATGGATATGAAAAAAAGGCATCTCGTATGAGTTGTAGTATATGTCTGATATTTGATAGACTCAATTAAAAATCAAGATTATACCATCAGCAAATACTTTTTAGTATTTTTAGCATTCATCAAACAATTAAACGCGTCCTTACGGTCAATCTAATGGGACGTGCCTAATTAGTGAACTTGAAATTACAAATTGCCAAGCTTTACGAATGATTCTTTATTAGTGTGATAGTGGTGTGTGACAACCGGCGAGGTAAGAATTCTCTTGTAAGACTGATTTCTGCCCGCTTCCTCAAAGTTAAGAGTTGACTATTTTGCTGGGAGAAGCACAAAGGTAATATCGCTCAGTCGTTAGGCGAATCGTAACATTGGTATGGATTCAGATTAAGTCCCTTAACCGAATGAGGGCGCTGTAGCGAAGCCATGTTAGGGGTAGACCATGGAGATGCATTTCTGGCATCCAATAACAGCTTTGCTAAATATTAGAGATTTTCAACATGATTTGTTTTCTTTTCTTTTTTTAAAGCAACGTGTGAACGTACGTCATGAATCCCAAAATTGCATCATATGCAGCGCCCTCATTTGTTCAAATGTGTGCGTAATATGGGAGTGCTATTAATTTGCACTCGAAGTAAAGGCCCTCTTTGTTTCCTTTAAACTGATTGTTTTATTGTGTTTACGGTTACCTCTAGAATATGCAGCAAACAACGGCGTGGTACGGCTGACCGGCGGTCCGTCCTCCACCGAGGGCCGCGTGGAGGCGTTCATTGAAGGCTCCTGGGGCGCCGTCTGCGACGAGAAATGGGACAAGACAGACGCAGCAGTCCTGTGCAAACAGCTCGGGTGCCCCAGTGGCGCCAAAGAGGCGACCACGGGGTCCAAATACGGGCCAGGGGTTCTGGATATCAAACTGACGGATGTTGTATGCGACGGGACGGAAAAAGACATGATCAATTGTACGCATGTCGTTCTGTCGCCCTCTGCCAACACGACGTGCACCCACGAAACGGAGGCAGGGGCCATCTGTGATTGCGGTGAGTTGAGGAAGATATATGCAGCCTATTGCATTCGATTTTCGTAACTTTCTTTCCTCGTGATTTTCAAAAGTTAAACTCGACCATTAAGTAGCTGCCTTCAAAAAAAAAATTAATATTGACACTCAAATACACCGCATGCCATTTTGTTTTATCAAAATATAGGCCTTGTGCAATGCACTTTTCAATAAATAGTAACTTTCAAATGTTGGTATAATACATGTATTAGTCCTGGCAAATAAACCAACAAATGAAGTAATTTCAAAACGAATGAAATAACATTTCTCAGGTTCCATTTACACCAGGAAAAGTTAGGCATGACTTTGATGTCTCTCATGGTTATTGAGAATAATCTGGCCGACTTGTGCTTCGGAATATTACAAATTAATTGTCTTTTTTCCCCCAGAATTAACGGTCACCATCGGTGACGGGCAAACAGATCAAGGTTTACTCAGGGCCCAACGTGCCGGTGAATCAGAAGCCAGGACACTGTGCTCCGAAACTTTCGATCTCCAGTCTGCCGACGTAGCGTGTCGCGAGGCGGGCTTCCCGGGGGCTCTGTCGTTTTCATCGGCAGAGGGGAACATCACGGGCCTAGAGTTTGAGTCCTCGTGCGCCGGCTGGGAAATCTCGCTCCGGGCCTGTCCCGTGTTTACTCCGGCCCAGTGCACCGACGGAGAGGCGGTTGATATCAAGTGTCAACCAAAAGGTAGGTCTATATAGGGTGCATGTGACCCAAAAAATGCAACCCTAAAATATTTGCCTTAACAAACAAAAGGATCGTTGGATTTTAATGTTTTGGGTATCGGATTAAAGCTGAGAGCTTTTTCTTTAAAATACTGGAAAAAAAATAATTTTACATAATGGGCATTTTCACGATTGTTTCAGTATTTAAAAGAAAAAGCTCTTAGCTTCAATCTGATACTCAAAACATAAAAATCCACCGGCAAATGTTTTGGGGTTGCAGTTTGGGGGGTCACCATGTATAGCACAAACTTCAGATTATTTTTTGTAAGGACTATAGGGATGCCACACCCATATAACAGCCCCAGAACTCTGTGGTTTGCTTAAGGAATGTATCCAGGATATTTCCCCAGGAGGCAAGGAGGCTGTATTTAAGCTAATTTTTTGAGTGATGCAAGGATTTCTTAGGCGCCAAAGGTTCCAAAGACTGGATTGAGTTCAGTTTTTTCATAGCGCCCTCTACCGCCAGGGCGACTGGCATGCACTTGCTTTTGGGAACAGCTGCATTCTAACCAAACCAGACTTGGATCAATTCAAAATCATCATTAAAAAACACTGATTTTCTCGTTTTATCTTCACAGAGGGGATCGAGCCAACTAGTAAACCGAGCACCACGAAACCTCCGTCCGGCGGCCTGAGTACCGGTGCTATCGTCGGTATCGTGATCGGATGCTTGTTGGGGGTCCTCCTGGTCATAATAGTCGGATTCCTCTTGTGTCGAAAGCGAAGGGATGGACCGGCCGCAATTTAAATGCTTCAGGAATTAAAGTTGATAGACTGACCAAACTTAATGGGTGAACACAACATTACAAGTACATTAATTACAAAACTAAAATCGGGTGCAGAATTGCTAAAATAAGCATACAGCCATGTGTATTTTGAATGTTTGCTAGTCTGTGTCTATGTTAAAGATGTATTCCTCGTGCTGTTTTCGAGTTTCATCCCCAAAAATAGATTCCCTTCTCAATTGCTATTTTTCAAGGGTATACCAAAAGTATGCACTTTTGAATAGGACATCGACCGAAAAAAAAATCGGCCCGTGTTTTAGATAATTAACTATTACTATACAATTTTGAATTATGGCCAGCCAGGCAATATTTCCCAATCTCGTGGGGGTAAACTGGTTCCCGCCCCACAATTAGTATCGATAATGCATGGATCGGGAGGCAGTCTGCTCGCAAAATATTAACAGTATTTTCCAGAGGATTGTAAATGTCCCAAAAAAAAAGGGGAACCAAAAAGATCCAGATTTTTTGTTGGGTGAAGTAAAACAGTTGAACATTTTATTAGGCCTGTTTTTGTTGAAGAGCACGGGAACGCAGCTTTAAATAACACATGATTTCTGTGCTTAAACCTTTTTAAATAAAAACTCTGGGCTTTGTTGGGTTTTTTTAATTGGTACCAGATAACGTTAATTCTTTGTACTTGTTTTAAATTTTGCATGACATAATTGAATATTAACCATTATTGCGGTATGGACGATCTTGAAATTGCTAAAAAATTGATAATCGATACAGTCACTTTTTTGTTTTATATACAAAGGCGCATTTCTTCCACCCTGGCTGGTTATGAGCAGCTTTCAGGCGTTGAGAGGATTGGTTTAATGTTTTGATAAAATAATGACAAGTAATCACCGAGAAATATGAACGGGTGTGGTTCTTGAAGAGCAAAACAAAAAGAAAAACCCGATCACAATATTATTAAATAATCACATCAACATAACTTTCTATAACATAAAATCACAAAATTTGTTTTTAACTGTTAGTTTGTACCAATCAGCCAAAAAGTAATTTTCTTTAAGAGCTTTTGTTACCGAATACCGCTAAACAGCTTCGTTATGATACTCCTCTGTGACTGTGATTAAATGAGAGCAAATGTATTGCTCAGATCCTATCTTTCTGAAATCTACTGTTGTCTCCTTTCTCATTTAAGATATTGACAAATGCAGACTATTTGGAATAGAAAGTGCGTGTGAAATTGTTGTGATTGGCTTTTGAAATTGTGCGTCATATTGGGAATAATTGTCTGATATTGCACGAAGCCCTTTGACAAAATTTAGATAACGTAATATCATGGTTTCGACAAGTTAAGTATGGGGCAGCCAGTGATAAATTATATTGATGTACACATTTTTGCATGCTTCACGAAAGAGGACGACACGGAATTGAAAGAACATGTGAGTCTCCTGGTAAACTCAATGATGTTCACTGAAGAAATTGCCCTGGATGACAGAACGCCCTCGTGTGACATGGCGTGAAGCCTTGGGGTGACTTGTAATCATTTTTGGGGGATGAAACTCGAAAATAGCACGGGGAACGCGTCTTTAATCCCGTGAACGAAAGTGAAGTGGGATATTCACGCAGAGGGCGCCATTTCAGTTTTGTTCGTATTTGGATTACTTTCCTCAACGCATGACATCTGTCTAGTATTATTCATGATTAAAAGAATAAAACAAATGAGCTCTATACGTGTTATTTTGATAGATTATATTTTGAGATTTAATAGCTGAAAAGAAGCCCGAGCGATTTTGCCTCTGTTTCAATATGTAGAATAGTGCCCTCACTCTTGTGATATGATCACATGTTTGATTCAGGATATGTCATAAATGTATTTAGCTAATAAAAATAACTGCCTGCTACTATAGTCTTCGTTGATGGGAAATTGTGAAACTCTTGTCCTTTTAACCGGGAGTCTTTGTACACTATTCCGCTGGTGCCAAACATGTGGTGTTCTGTGTGTTTTTCATGGGCATAAAATTATTATCTTAAACTTAAACAGTAAATTTCAATCTGCGCTGAATTTGTCATTTGAAAAGGAATGATTTTAAAATAAAGACAGAAAGCGATTAGACTGGGATGAATTTAAATGTAAATTTCCTTGTTTTGAGATAATATTTTTTTTTCAACGTGATATAATCTAGAACTGAAGAGGCATAATAACATGTGTATCGACAAATGTACGGTTTAAAAGCGTTTATGGAGCAGCAATTTAAAACATATCCAAACAACGTTACAATGCAGGTTACAGTACCCGACTGCATGTTCGTAGGTATGTTTGAATTAAAAATATAATCAAAGTTACTCTCTTTCTACACAAGAGAACCCTTTGTCATGCAAGGTACCACCCTCTCCAATTCATTATTCGCCCATCGTCTGCTTTAAAAATTATCATTTCAATTTAATTACGATTCCGGAAAAAAAGTTTTTAAAAAAAAATTATAAAATTTCAACCAATAAATAATCAACTGGGGGAACGCATGTCGACAAAAACTCAATTTCTGGGTCACCAATCTTTTGTAGGCAACAACTGACCACCTAATTCATGGTCAAATAAACTTCCCATACATCGGACTGTACACGTCCACCATTCTTTTTTTTTGTCAGGCTCAATTTTTGGATTGGCTGTATGTATCGTAGACTGTGTGAAAACGTGCATCGATTTACGCGGGATTCGAAGGTTATCCACCGCACATCTGGCGCCATTTTATCACATGGTGCCATTAGTTAAAATTTGCAGAAGCCTCGTGTAATCGATATTGTCCATTGTGTATTCGGGGCCATGGAATATATGACATGAATTTTCGCAACATATTTCAAGTTTCCCTCCAATATTAAATAAGGGCAATATTGTCAGCAGTGTGCTGATGTGTGAACCGAGCAATAACGGCTTGAAGGAAAGGCTACGTCTTTGTCTAAGATGCATGTTTAACTACTGCCTTATCCCTTGTGTTCACGATTTTTTCTAGTACATTGTATCTATTTTCGTCACAGAAACAAAAATCCTTGCCTATCCATGCACTTAGATATACAGGGTGAGTAAAAAAACCCAGGAAACCCAAATGGCAGGACCAATTTTTTTGTAATGAAATAGGGATGTGTGTGAATCGTTTTGCTGAAAAAACACACACCTTTTTTGTGATCCGTGGACAGAATTTTTAAAACGATGGTTGTGTTTTAAATTCCGTAACTTGAATAGTACATAAGTGATTTGAATGATTCTCCTACTGAAAGAAAGCTTATAAATTGGGATTTCGTATCCTAGATTTTGAAAGTGCTACATGCAGAACTTTATTAAGAAAATAGTCCTGCCTTTTGGGTTTCCTTTTTTTTTACTCACCCTATGCATGTAATTAATTGATAGGTCATGCGTTTTCCTTGTCCACAGCTTTGTAAAATCGAAGTTAATGTACTTTCTCTTTGCAGTTGTATGTAGTTATTTGATACACAGGCCTACATATAATATTCTGTGCATCACAACATATGCTTGCAGAGTTTTATGGACCCTTCACCTACCCACATATTTTGTTTTCTATTCCCATTAAATACCAGAACGTGCCAAGGCAGAAGCCGACCTTCAAAAAACAAATTAAAATAAAATAAAACCAAGGTGTACACGCATGCGCTTTGCATGCCAAAACCACCTGCCACATGTGCAGCCCAGCCCAGCAATAATACTACATAACCAAACTCCCCTGCGCTATATCTTTGCGGCTGTATATTATGCGCAGCGAATACATAAACACACAGACCTGGGCACGGTTTGGCGTCGCTACTGAGCTATCGTACTACGAAAGCACGCACACTCACCGTCATTTCGTCCAACCTCACTCTACGCGCAGCATTCATCAGCTGGACCACGCTCGACAAGATCTACTGATCGACACAGTTTCCTTGTTCGCAATCGGCTTGACGAGTTGTCATTTGCAACAGCCATGGATCTGCGGAAGCGATTTGAGAATATGAAGGCGGAAGATTTTGCCGAAACATGGAACAAATATGATGCTGATGGTATGTGGTGATTTGCTGTATTCCATTCCATTTAGAGTTAGCTCAACGTTTACGGCCCCGTACTTAAAGTCGTATTTGTTCACCTAGGTTGGCAAACAGAAAGTTCGAAGTTAATGTGTAATTTGTCGAGGCATTTATCTGTTTATGCGTGGTAAAACAAAGAGTGCACGTAATGTTGTTTATTTTGGTCTAATGATGACGTGGTGTGGGGAGTTTCCTCTGCGCAACAGGTGCTGTGACAATACGAATATTATTAGCATGTTCTCACATATCAAGTGTGGGATATAACACATATATAGCCTGGGAGTATTGCAGAGTATTCAATCTGAATCTATTTTTAACAAATAACATGCAATTGTTGGATGGAAATTTTAAAGAGAAATTAGGGCAGGTGTTACAATCAAATGATTATTTAGGCTTCACACGTTTTGAACTCGGATTGTCATTCCGAAAAAAAAGAAACAATTATGTATTATCAGCAAGATTTCCTACATTGTTTCAAATATTATTTTCCTATTTTGACTTAACGGTTCTTTAATATTAGGGATTACAAATTGTGTCGTGCGAAGTTTGCAGTTTGGCAAAGTATTTAATTCTCGCATTCTGTGTATTCACACGGTTCTCTCCGTTTCTTCATTAAGACTCTGAGGCAGAAATAAAAAAAAAATTAAATGGTGTTAAAAGTACTTAATCTTCATTGACATCAGAAATAGTAAATTCAAGTCTGATTTACATTGGGAAACATTCTTTAACGACGAATAGGAAAAGGTTCTGTTATTATTATCACCATCAAGAAATATTATTAGCTGCACGGTTTTATTAACATCAATAGCAACATTGCATGTCACAGAATATCAATATGTTGATTCAACCATAGTGTGTTAAATTATTCCATTATATTGAACCATATTTTATTAATAAAAAACAGTCCTATCGACCCGTTCACGTATCGTGCGCATATTTGTAAATGGTGTATTCCGTATTACTTTCCAATTGTTTATTTTGTATGCTCCTTGCAGTAATTGAATTAATTATTGGCATGCAGATTCAAATCGTTAAAAACAAAACTGCAGATTGATACCAAAACTAGTATATCACCTAAGTGACTGAAGTATTTTGCATTGCTTTGCTATTCTCTACAGGTAATGGCTTCATTGAAGGCAGTGAGCTAACGAATTTCTTCAGAGATTTCGTCATGAAGAATAAAGATTCCTCAGCAGCGGTAAATAAATAAATAAATAAATAACAATCAACATTTTTTCCTTGAGATATGTTTTTTGGGTGCCCCATATAAAGTGGCTATCTTAAAAAAAAAAAAAAGTAAGGTGGTTCTGAAAACTGGGGTTAACCTCTTACGGTTCTTCCCAGGAACGAGACTGTTTTAGAAATAGTCAATTCACAATTCGTTAAGGACTCTAAACCATGCAAAGCCTCGTTTCGTTTTCATCCAAACTTCTTTTTTTAGCTTAAAGGGAATGTACAACATTTGCTTTTGCTGCAAGTTTCAGAAATAAATGGATTTGGAGGATTAGTATGTTATAGCAAATATTGTTAAAATGACTTGTTTCACGATTTGGGCTTGTAGATGCTGGAAAAACCAAGGAAACCAATCATGTTCTTGTAGTCTGGTTCCCTGACCCCACTTAAGATGAAACAGAGCAATGTATAACCTTTGCGGAATTGTAAGGTCAGAGAATCAGTCTAGCAGGCTTGTACCCCTTCACAGGTGTGTAATCAATAGCAAAGAAAACACGGAATAACTAATTATGAAAAATTAGAAGCACTTTTTTTTAAAAAAGCCAGTTTTCTCCAACGCTGGTCGGCCGACCAGCGTTGGAAAAATCCCATTTTTCTTGAAAATGACAGCACACTAGGAGCCACGATTTTACAGAATGTTTTAGACTGTCATTCCCTAACAATCCAGTAAGGTATTTCGTGATAATTCGATCATTTCGTTTTGTGATGTTTGCAAATGTTGTATCTTCCCTTTAATTATTTATTGCCCTCTATTGTAAAAAACAAAAATACCATATTTTGGTAAAGTATAGACATTTCCCCGTTAGTTTTCTGGTGCGTAAAAAAGCGAGAGTGATATGAGCATGTGATAGTGCCGTGCTTGTTCCCTCCTCTCTCTCTGCATTTCTTATGAAATACAAACACCGTGCAAGCTGATTCCGGCACCGACCCCCCGAAGTACGGAACTGAAACTTTGCTGGACCGTACGCGCGCATACTCGAGACCGCGCGGTGCATCGATGACCGGTACTCTAGACCACGCTGCATACTCAAGCACAACTCGTTGAATTTAATGAGGTATTTGTTACCACGGGCCCAATACATGCATCATGTAGATGGGAGTGCTTTGTAAACGGTAATATAATGCTACCCAGTCACTTCATTGCCGAAGTCTAGTACCAAGTGACCCCCTTACACCAAAACAGTGTTTGAGCAGAGTGCTGTACAGCGAATGTTGATATAGGAGGGGGAAAAGTCGAGATAAATCTTATCGGGCGGAGAACGGATAGTACAAATTCAGCTTGTGGAAGCAAGGGGCGAGAGTATAGACACGATGAAATTGAGTGCCCCCAAAACAGATCCCGGCCGAACAGTATTAAAAACCCTAAAAAGCATATGTATACAAGTTCTAGCACATTGCATACTAAAATAGTAACACAGGTTGGCCGAGTTTTCCGTTCTCAAGAAGGGTTATATACATCTTTGGAGGGGTAGAATTTCACCCACCACCCCATCCTGCCTGAAATATAATACCCTGGAACTATCCCAGTTATGATGAGGTTGTTCGTTCCTTTTTTACAGGCAATGTCGCCCGCTATGCTTGATGAGATGATCAAGCAACACATGTGTGCGTACGATGAGGACGAGGATGGGCGAATCGGCATGTCAGAGGTAAGGTTGATCGATTTGTGTACCCCCCCCCAAAAAAAAAATATCTACAAAAACACAAAGGAGAGCCGAGTTGTCGAGTATTTTGTTAGAATCGTTTGATGATTTCACTCCATTCAGTTGCTACGTCATGCTAGATGTATTCACGTCTTACAATTTAGTGTTAGATTCGTACACCATCATGAGAATTTTAGTCCGCCACAATATGTGCATGGAATCCTGACCTCTTTATATGAACAGTGTGGGGGCTTTCTGTTTGCATGGTTGTCATGGCGTTAATTCTGTGTCGCAGCGCCAAAATTGAAATGATAGCGATTACAGCAAACAAAAATCAAACACTGAGTATGAGCAACACTTTAAGACTGTATCTAAGAAACTAAGTGGCAACTCAACTATGCTGTGGACAAACGGGCGACGAACATTGGAAGAATTTGATTCTCTCTGGCTGAACAAACATCCGTCAACTCGAGGCTTGCAGGCCGGTCATCCGAGGATATCACACTACGTCAACACCTTTATCGCGCGCCCGTGCCTGATCGATTCGACGACTATTTCATCGATGTAAACGGCTGTTTCGTGTCTGCCCATTTTATTGAAAACTTAGGGGGGAAATTGAAACTTGGTGTCACACATACAATCATCTCTCATCAGCGGCGTATCCAGCAGGGGGGAGGCAACATTTTAAGACTTTACTGTTTTGACGTCTGAACCGTCTTAAAACCGTCTTTAAAAAGAAAATGCCGCCGGGGTACGTGGGCAAGTTGCTCCCACCAAACTCTCTACCCTCCACCGCCACTCCCACCCCTTCCCGCCCCCTCCCAATCCTCACCCGCTGAATACGCCAAAATCTCTCATACTCTCTAAATCCCTAAAAGGGAAATGAGTGACTACACATTTTAGGGTAAATAGTCAGGAAGAAAACCGCTTCAGTCTAAGCTCTGAGCTCGATCTTTACGATTGAATGAATTTCACTCTATAGTCCCTATAGTTTCTGACTGTGGGAGTGAATCCTCACTCGAATGGAGTGACGTTTTACTCTTAGGAATTTAACAACTTGGGGACTTGACTTTTAGTTACTATATACTATGATTCTTATTTTAGTCTAAAAACCCTGCTGGATAGAAAAAAAATCAAGACATTGTGCTTGTTCCTTAAAGCAAGGCATTTTATCTGCTATGCTTTTGCTAAATATAAAGCTATTATTCCTTGTTGCATTTTAAATAATGTAGCGGCACTTGTATGCATTGTTGGTCTTGTCCATTTTATGCCGAAAAGACATCTGAATTTGTATCAGTAAGAACCCTTCACATGCACAACCGAATTCTTCAACGAGAGAGCAATTTGATAATTGTGTCGTCGGCGTTATGCCATGGTTCACTTGCTTTCATGGAGGGAAAAAAAATGATTACTTTACACGACATTGACTATGGAGTATCAACCCGCACAAGATAGAAGGGATGTCGGCGTCGATTAAAAATAGCGGTCGATTGTCAACACTGATGCTGTGTCATTTGAGGAGATAATATCGCGTGAATAGGGATGGCTCCATTCTGGTCAAGGTGCAAGTATAGAGAAACGAATGCTATCGGTGCTCTCCCCGCAGATCGTGCAGGATAATCCCCCCCCCCCCCCCCCCCCCCCCGAGTTAATTACCTTCAACGTGTCGGGCCCCAAGTTTAATTACAGTACGGTATACTGACCTAGCAATATTCTGGATGATGACACATGGGAGTGTATGAGTTCAAGGCAGAGTTGTGATCGTTTTATTCATCAGGGGAAAAAGGATTACACGTATAAAGGCTCGTGTAGCAGTCGGGATAAAAGATATGAAAAGCTAGACATCAAAGGGGAAAACGGGATCTGAAGACTGGAAAGGCTAATTGTCAAAAAAAAAATGGCTCATGTCCATTTCATATTGGGGTTGACAGGTTTTTTTTTTAAGGGCAAGCAAATTGCAATATTGCATTTGTGACCTCGCACACCCCGTATGTCAATGGGATAATTAGCAGAAAATTGCTTTCATAAATCAGTCGAGAAAGTGCCTTGAACTTTTGAGAGTTTCAGCTCTTACATCTCGCGTACAGAAATCTTGGAGCTCAATGGTAACTTATCGCAATTTTGTGACACTAATAACGTATATGTAGACTTTCCACTTATTTCCCTCCTAAATCTGGAAGATCCTTAAAACAATCCTTTACAGTAAAGACGGTATACCAAACACCGTTGCAATCGTTTAGTTTCACGGGCCTGATTGGAGAAATGAAGTGCAACAAACACACCCCACTGGTCCCCGGCCTACTACTGGGTTTCGCCAGCATCTGTTCCTTGCTCTATGGTATATTACGTTGTATTCAAACTAAAACAATGTAGACTATAACTGACAGTAGGTATACGGATAATTATCATAAACCCTTTTGCGGATATATGCAAGACCAAATAATATCATGTGATGGTACATGTTTTGCTGCTTTGTGGTAAAGTTTTCGCAAAACCGTTCGACAGTGCAATGCAGCACTATTTGCCCATTGCCTGCCTGAAAGCTATCCATTCATAGTCTATATGGTAATGTTTCACTTCCAAAACCCGGGGTGCCACTCTACTTATTACGAGATGTGGTTGCACACTTTGCCCAGTCAGTCTTGAAAATTCACAGGTTGTACTCACGTTAACGTTCTTGTACCCGAATAGTCGTGATTTGTATCGCTTATTTGGTATATTTATGTATGAAAAATTGTCCCTCGTACCAAAATGTCACACAATGCTCGTAAAAAAAGTACATCTGCAACCTCTCGAAGGGCGTTAACGCAACGGTGTTATACCCATAGAGTGTGACTCTACGGTCAGATGACAAATTTACAATGCCCACCCGAGCTGTGTATGCATGTAAATTGGCGAGAGTGCCCGTTTCATTATACCACGCGCGCAAACTGAAAATGCCACATGTTAACGGCAGCAATTTAGCAAAGCGCCGATAGTCATTCATGTATAATCACATTACTTGAATGAGCAACCTCCTATAAGGAAATTGACTTAAAGGCCAATTAACCAGAACGATTTTTGTTTTTCTGATGGGAAGGAAATGTCCAGGTTTGACATTTGCAAAAACCAACATTCTTTTCGTCTCGAACTATTTTTTTCTTAATTTTCAAGGAAACGCATACAGCAGGTGTTTGAAGTGTAAGCGGAATATGAATTTGTAAATGTCAAAATAACAAAGTGAATTGCATGCATGAATCGATGTGCTCGACATTGTATCACTCAATTCAATTCAATTCAGTTCAGTTAAAACTCACATTTATTTCCATACCAAATGAGAAATGTAAGCAGCAGAGAATACACGAATAACTGACTTTAAAATACATTTTGAAAATTCCATTGTTTTATGTAACAACACGTAACATGTACCATTATATATCTTCTTTTTTCAGGTTAAGTATTATTTCAACCAGTAAAATTGAAGCAATATTGTATGCGTTTGAAAGAAACAATCCAAATGTAACGAAAATATGCAGCTTCGTTGTGTGGTAAAAAATATATTTACCTAAAGGGTACCAGCATTTTCAACTAAAGAAATATATTATCTCACAGTTAAAATATGTAAGGTTGTTGCAACGTTGTAGTACTACATTTACTTCTTCATACTGTGTTGGCAACCTTGGCGGTATTGTGTACGGATTAAATATTAAGTCTTGTTCGTGGTTAGCTTTTACAGCAGACAATGGGCTTAAATTCCTTCTTCTTTTTTTGAATATTCGTTTGGTAATCTTCACGATCGAGCCTGATATAGGTTTTGAATTAGTTGTGAGAATGCGAAAGGGGCGTAGCTAAGCTGCAAAACTGAGGGTGGAAACCACTTATGTTAAATTTAACCAGCTATGGATCGCACCATGTGTGGTATTGATTACAAGAAAATGGATTTCTTGTACCCCAGCTATGGAACATTTGGCGTGGCACTGATCGAATTAGGTCTTATAGAAAATACGATTACAGGCTTAAAACATGTTTTTATTATAAACATGTACTCGGAACAACATCTATTATACATGAACTCGAGATTGAATTATCAGGCAAGGCAATTTGAGAAATAATGAAATGCAATATCCACATGACATTGAACAGTGATAAACCCGAAGGGAAAAAAAATATCGATTTGTGTTAATAGTATTATGCAAAGAATACAAAATGACGAGTGAAAATATAAGGACTGTCTTTGGGAGAGAAGTGATGAGGATATTGATTTCTTTCTTCGACTGCGCTTGGAATTATTTCACTCTCCCTGGCTTGACACTTTTTTCTTCTAAATATCAAATTGCGAAGACCTAAGGGAATAACAAAACAACTCTTCAGGAAATATATGATCGTGTTGCTTTAAGCAGCATTTTGGAATTTCTGCAACATCTCCCCTTTTTTTGGCCCCAAGATATACTCCTGTATGCGGTCTTGACAGACATGTCGGATTCGCGCCCCTACCTCTCATGCCCCACAGATATATTAATACATGGCTCGCCGCGAGTTATACTCGTTTATTATCTGATGATCTTGTCAGATACACTCAGATATTATACATGCGGTTGATGGCGGCAGGATCCGTTTCAAGCCATTACAATGCAAATGGGGGCACTCAACTTCATAAATAAGAATGTAATGGACATTGCGAGCATAGCAAATAAGTAAACTTAAAAAAAAAATTAAAAAAAATAAAATAAAAAGAGTCCGAGTTGGAATGGAATGATCAAGGGAGATGATACTTTACACACAGCTGTTCGCTTCATACATGTTTTTTTAACTTGCAATGTAAATCACAATTGATCCGTTTCAACCAATTTGAATGTAAATTCTTTCATAAACAAAATAATTTGCATTGTTAACAGACTTGCTGCAAAGTGAAAACAAAAATGCAAAAATGAGGATCCAAATTGGAATGTAATGTTCAATGGAGATTTCATTTTTGGCAAAGCTGTAATTCGACCGTACATTTTTTTTTTAAACAATTGTTCGCGTCC